GAGATTAGGAACACATTGACAGAAAGAAAAAAAGTCCTACACATAATACTTTTTAAGATTAGCTACATTCCATGACCTGGCCAAGGATCTGCCCTCAGTGTCCTTCAGCGAGTATGCTCCTCCTGCGTGAACTTTTTCGACCAGGTATGGCCCCTCCCAATTGGGCTCCAGTTTTCCTACGTGTTTGAGCACGTCCACCCTTTTCCAAACCAGATCGCCCACCTGGAATCGGCGAATCTTTACCTTCCTGTCATGCGCTGCTCTCATTCGCTGCTTGTACGCTTCAACTCTGGTCGAGGCCTGTTCTCTGAGCTCCTCAATCGTGTCTAAGGCAGTGAACAAGAGTTCCTCATTCTGTTCTCGATCATATGCGCTTACCCTCTGGGATTCCAACTCCAATTCAATTGGTAAGAGCGCCTCCATCCTGTAGACCAGGCTGAATGGCGTCTCCCCTGTGGTCGACCTCGGGGTGGTCCTATATGCCCAGAGTACGGACGTTAACTCATCAACCCAAGCCCCCGATGCCTTTTCCAGTCTCGTCTTCAAGCCATTTAGTATAATTCTGTTGGTCACCTCCACCTGTCCGTTGGCCTGAGGGTGGGCGACTGAGGCGAAGTGTTGCTCGATTCCCATCTCCTCACACCATGTCCTTACTCGCTTGCCATTGAATTGGGTCCCATTGTCGGATATCAAGACTTTCGGAACTCCAAATCGACAACAAATGTTATTATATAGGAATTGAATTACTTTTTCTTCCGTGATTTTGGCCAGTGGCTCCGCCTCTACCCACTTTGTGAAATAGTCGACCGCGACAATCAGGAACTTACGCTGCCCTGTCGCTTGCGGCATTGGCCCCACCAAATCGATCCCCCACTGCGCGAACGGGATTGGTGCGCTCATGGTGGTCATCGTCTCCGCTGGTTGGTGTATTAGTGGGCCATGCTTTTGGCATTGCACGCACTTCTTGGCCATTTCCTTCGCATCCGCCTTCATTGTCGGCCAAAAATAACCGGCTCTTAGAATTTTCGCGACCATGGCTCCAGCTTTACTGTGATCGCCACAACATCCTTCGTGCACTTCTCGCAAAATGCCTCGACCCTCTTCTCCGGATACACACCTCAAGTGCGGGCCTGCGTAGGATCGTTTGTAGAGCACTCATCTCTGTTCGAAAAATCTTCTCATTACTTTCAGTGCTCCTTCTCGCAGTTCCTTCCGTATCGAGGACCTCCAATCTTCCACCTCCTCAATTTCTGCTATCTCGGCCTCAGCCGTGCTTTTCTCCATGTGTAGTAAGGTCACACTCCTGCTCTTGCAGTCTACCAGATTCTGAGCGATTTTAGATAACAGATCCGCCCTGCCATTCTCTCCCCGAGGTATCTGTATTAATTCAAACGTCGAAAAGTCTTCCTTCAGTTTCCTCATATTGTTCACAAGACGCTGCAGTCGGTCCTCTTTGATCTCAAAATCTTCCTGAAACTGGCCGACCACCAATTGGGAATCCGAATAGACCCGGATCTTTCGAGCACCTCCGATCAGAGCTAATTGTAACCCCTTTATCACTGCCTCGTATTCTGCCTCGTTATTTGACACGCGGAATCCCATCTTCACAGCAAACTCCAGGTAATCGCCTTTGGGCGAGACCAGGACTATCCCCAAACCGGCCCCGCTCCTCGACACCGAGCCATCCGCGTACAATTGCCACTCCCCTTCTGGGTTCTCCTCCTTTGTACCCTCCTGGATAAAGTCTGCCAAAACCTGGGCCTTAATCGCCCTCCTAGGCTCGTATAC